AGGGATACTCACTTTCAAACACTGGCCTCACCTATAGTCATCAGTACTTGTAAATTCACACATAATTCACTACCCTTGATTTCATCCAGCACAAATACTTATTGTCTACTATGCGCCAGGCACTACCCTAGACATAACTCGGGATCTCATCTAGTTCATAGTCTAATGGGAGTTTAGCTAGATAAACAGGCAAGTACAGAATAGTCAGATGACTGTTACTGTTAGGGTAAGTACTGCACTTTCTGCAATGCCAACGAGGCCTCCTAACCCAGTTTGGAGGAATCATTCATGCATATAATTATTCAACAAATATTTATTGGGTACCTACACCATGCCAGGTACTATACTAGATGCTTGCTACGTAGCTGTAGAAAAACAAAAAAAAAGACATAAAACCTACCCTTATGTTGTAGAAAATTGCAGTCTCTGCACCCTGACTGTCAGAGGTCAAATCCTGGCTTCTCTGCTTTCTAGCTTTCTAGCTGTGTAATCTTAGGTAAGTTACTTAACCTCTTTGTCAGGGGCTTACTATGGAAAATAGCACCTATGGCAATTAGTTTTAAATTGCTCAATGATCTCTCACAGCTGGCGATGGAAACTCTGATGGCCTATAGAAACTGCTCATTAGTGCCCCTCCTCAAGCGCCCTCAGGGCATGTGCCCTACCTGGCATACCTTAGTTACACCTCTGCTCTTTGTACTTAGGTTACCTAATGTGCAAAATGAGGAGAATAATCCTGTTGTCATTAGCTGCCATTGAGTCAGCCCCCGATTCATGGCAACCCCAGGCACAATGGAAAGAAATGCTGCCCGGTTCTGCGCCATCCTCATGATTGGCTTCTGATCAAATCGTTGTGATCCGTAGAGTTTTAACTGGCTGATTTTCAGAAATGCAACTTATAATCAATGGCTTCTTAGATTCAAAACAATACAGTATTAAATGTGAAATGTCAATAAAACATTGAAGAGGAGAAGAAAACAGGGCTTTGAACCAGTTAGAACTGGGTCAGTCATGGCCAATGAAGCAAAACTTCAACAGACCTAAATGTTTACAATTTGGGTGATCCGTAAGGATAACTAGAATGAGAAAAATTAGATGGGAGACTCAGAAAAGGCATGTGAGCTCTTTCAGGAGCCTGATGTGTCAGACTGAATTATTAGCAGGACTGTGGAGAGCAACACACATTCAAAGCAGCACTCATCTTCGAGCAGGCCACCACTGTTACCGACTCTCCTCAAAATTCGACAGGCAAAAGATTTGGTTGCTATGCAGTGCATACGCTGTCATTGTTTTCTAAGAGGGAGATTAGGTTTCTAGCAGGGCTTCGACCCGTAATTTTTCCCATTCTGTTTATTATGCTGGTTCACCCACTTTTTAAAAATTTGGGTCTGTTCTGGTTTTGCTTCCTTGGCCATGACTGAACCAGGAAGAAGCGGTTCAGAGCCCTGGATGAAAAGTAGGCAGTTGGAGATAGCAGTTTGGAGCTCAGAAGAGAGAGGTTTAAACTAGAGATGTAAGTGTGGGGTCATCTGGAGTTGGTTATTTAAAGTCACAACAGTGAATGAGATACTTTTGGGGAGTCTAATGAAGACAAGAGGATTCAGGTTGGAGCCCTGAGAAATCTCTATGGGTAGAAGTTGAGTAGAGGAGGGAGAGCCAGCAAAGGAAACATTTTTGTTTTGAGTTCATTGCTGTTGTTATTTGTCACTAGATAGAAGAGTCCAGGGGGCCAGGACCTTGCTTCTTTTGTTCTCTAATGAACCACCCAAGTCAAGCACTTGACTACATTTAGATATTATACATGCCACAGGTAAATTGGCAAAAGTGATTCATAATAATCTAAGTTTATTTGAGAAATAACATACTGATTAATCACCAGCTCTTTTCACCCCTGAAAATAAGTCTTTCAGGTCATCAGAGAAGCATTATAATCAGATTATGATTTTTGGTAGAAAATAGGTTCATTGCACATTAATCTAGAAAATTGTCTAAAGACAGAAGTGGAAAAAACAGCTACTAGAAGTACTGTAGCATTCATGTATAAAAATCCTTCTGTGGAGATCATATCCCATTTGCTGTCCCATTTCTATAACATAAGTAGGAGACCAGCTGGTAGAAATGCTAATTCATCCACCTTTCATTTACTGTTTGTCACTTCACAGATGTGGAATCTTATCTCTCTTTTTTTTTTCCCTCCCTTCATATATTTCAGATGCTCTGATCGTTATATAGGAGCTATGAGTCAGGATCAACTTGATGGCAACGGGTTTGGTTTAGTTTTTGGCTAATCATCATATGGCGTCCCTGAGTGATGCAAATGGTTAACATGCTCAGCTGCTAACCAAAAGGTTGGAGGTTCGAGTCCACTCAGAGGTGTCTTAGAAGAAAGGCCTGGTGATCTACCTCTGAAAAAAAATCAGCCATTGAAAACCCTATGGAGCACATTTCTACACTGACACACATGGAGTTGCCCTGAGTCAGAATCAACTTGAAGGCAACTGAAAAAAATCATAGAAAATTACTATTATATCACATCTTCTAGTCAGTGGTTCTCAACTGGGGGAGATTTTGATGCTCATGGGACATTTGGCAAAGGCTGGAGACATTTTTGGTGGTCACGACTGGGAATGGCATCAAGTGGGCAGAAGCCAGGGATGCTGCTAAACATCCTACAATGCTCAGGCCAGACCCCCACAGCAAAGAATTACCCAGCTCAAAATGTCAGTAGTGCCAAGGTTGAGAAACCCTACCTGCGGACCTAAGTTTCTATGTATACGAACTTTCTGGGAGTGAAGTCCATAGCTTTTATCAAATTCTCAGAGGAGGTATACTCAAAAATTTAAGAAACATTGGCTTTAATGGATATTCTGTCTACAGTGACATATTAATCCTACCCCAAAACAGCAATCACCTCTCTAGTTAAGAAGACTTATCTTTGCCAGCTGAATTCCACTGTCCCCTTCTTGTTTATTCAGGGACAGACAAACATACTCTTTGGATTTCTCTCTTCTGTGTCCTCCATTTACCTCATACTCTTCCTATTAGCCAGGTTAATAAAATTATTAAGGTCGCTGGGTGGCACAAACTGTCTATACTCAACTGCTAACCTGAAAGTTGGTGGTTCAGACCTACCCAGCAGCACTGCAGAACAATAATAGGCCTTGTGATTTGCTTCTGCTAAGTTCTACTCTTGAACACATGGGGTCCTCATGAGTCAGAACTGACTCCACGGCACAAGACAAAAGCAATACAATTACTATGGCTATGGTGCCTATCTTGTTTTCTTTAGACAAACCCAGTTGATCTGGCCAGTATCCATTCATTCAATGTTAACTAGGCAGTGGGTATGTGGTGATTTTTAAAAGTGGCCCTTGCCCTCATGGAGCTTACCATCTAGTGTGGAAGGCTTATCAATAAAACATAAAAGTGATTAAAAATTACAGTTAAGTGGGGGAGTGATGTATGAAAAACGAAAATGAGAGGAGCTGAAATGAGGATGCAGAGGGAAGACGGACGACCAACTAGATCATTTCATACCATGTTTTATTTTTAATTTTGTCCCACTCAAATGTAATGGTCAGCCCAGAACTTCTTCCTGGGTATTTTCAGTAATTTTGTGATCTCTATATGCCAGTCCTGGAAACTTGTGATGTGTGCGTATTCAACGAACATCTTCTGAGCACCGACAGACAAATTTGGGAAGCTATGGGCAAGGCTGCTAACCAAAAGGTTGGCAATTCAAATCTACCAGGCGCTCCTTGGAAACTCCACAGGACAGTTCTACTCTGTCCTATAGGGTCGCTATGAGTTGGAATCGACTCAGCGGCAACGGGTTTGGTTTCGGGTTTACAGGCAAGAACGTCAAAAGCAAATTTCAATTTTCGTCCCTAATATATCTAATTATAAACCAATGAGGGGAGAAATTCAGAATAAAGCCAATGTTTAAAATGCCGACTATGATACTCAGCAGATATAATAATCATTACAACAGTCGATCTTGATCAGATATTTAAAGTTGGCTGCTGTAGCCTGTAAATCAAGAGTGAAAAAAAAAATCAACCTTATTAACCATTCCCCAGAATACTAGCAACCCAGAATTTTGTAAGTAGTTAAACTAGACAAGGATGCCTGGACAGCAATTTTTAATGGCGCTGGTTCTTGAACTGACTATAAACCCGAGATTTTTAACACCAAAAAACCAAACCCGTTGCCGTCGATTCCCACTTACAGTGACTCTACAGGACAGAGTAGAACTGCCCCATAGTTTCCAAGGAGCGCCTGGTGGATTGGAACTGCCGATATTCTGGTTACCGGGTTTTTGTTTTTGTGTTTTTGCGGGAGTGAGGTAAACGGCGGCTGGTGAGACAACAAAGGCTGTGCGTCCCTATTAAGGGCCGCCCGGGCCGCCGGCCTCACTGGGGCGAGGGCAGCGGGTGAGTCCGGGTGGCGGGGCTCCTCTGTCGGTGACCCACGCCGTGGCGGCCCCGACTCTCTGCGGCCCGCCTCCCCCGGCCGGCGCCTCTCAGCCGGTGCACGCCAGCCAAGGAGGCGCGTGAGAAGGGCCCCAGGGGCCGAGGCCTGGCCACCAACCGAGGGAATAAGCGAACGACTTGTGAAACAGCCTGCGACCTGGTCACCCGCCAGGACCGAGATCACGCGGCTCCCAGGGCCGGGTGAAAAAGCTGCCCAGCCCGAAGACGCTAAAGGGTAAAGACGCCAGCGAAGAGACCGCGACGTACCGCACCGTTCCAGCCTCCAAGGGGCTAACGTCGCCTCTAGGCCCCGCCTCCACCCCCTTATGTAATGCAGACGTGCTGCCATTGGCCCGCGAGACCGGAAAGGGCGCAGGCGCCAGGGAGGGGAAGGGGGGGAGCTGCAGCAGGAAGGCGAGGGGGCGGGGCTGCGAGGAGCCGGCGGGAGCTCGGGCGAGTGGGAGAGATTCGCGGCGTGCGCGGGCACGAGGCGTAGTGGCCTCCCTAAGGCTGAGGCGGCGGCGGACGCGCGCGGCGGCGGGTGTGCGAGGCGCGGGCTGTTGTGCTCCTAGCTCTCCTCTTTCCCCTCTTTGGCGGGTGGAGGAGGCCGAAGTGGTGCTGGGCGCGCCCCCATCTTCCTCTCCCTCCGGCGATCTCTCCCGGCCCTCTCGCGCTGCGCGGTCTCTCCGACGCAAGACTGTCCCAGCCCGGGTGAGCGGAGGCGGCGCTGACGCCGCAGGAAGCCTGGGAACCGGGGTGGGGGGGCGGCGGGGACCGTGGAGGTCACCGCGGGTCGCGAGGGGTCGCGGGGGGCGGCAAGGCCCGGCCCGTCCCGGCACGGGCTGCGGAGCCACGGAAAAGAGGGGAAGCTCGGACGCCTGCCAGGCCCTGCAGGTGGCCAGGTCGCAGGCTGGCCGCGGGAGCGGAGCGGTAACCCTACCTCCAGGCGACAACAGCTGGTCGGTTTCTTGAGGCCGGAGTTCCCAGTGGCCGAAGGGGGCCGGGAAGGCGCGTCTCGGGCCGGGGTCCATGAGGAGTGGCGGGTAGGTGGGGGCCCTGTGGCCTTTGGTGGCAGGAAGGGGGAAGGGGCTTCCAGAGGCGTGAGAGGCCTGTCTGGGAAGGAAGGTGCACCGGCTGCAGCTGGGGTCAGTGAAATGTAGGTTGAAGTAGACCTTAGTCCTGGTGTTTTCATCCTTCCAGCTCCCCAAAAGGATGTAGTTAAAAGCTGGAGTTAGGATGTTGATCACTGCCTGGGCCTCTTCGTTTCAGATGGTTATGAAGAATAATTCTACTTCCTGGATCCAGAAACCTTTTTTTTCTCTTATTTGTCTTGTTTGTTTTTTACAAAGTCTGTGGGGCAGTGCTTACTTTTTGCCTTCTGCGAGAGCTCCTCATTTTAAAAGAACTCGCTCATTTTGCTAGTTCCTTCTTTGCAGTCCCGCGGAACACTAAATAAGTTAGTTAAATAAGAGTTAAATTTAAAAACCAGCGTGTAGGTATTTGTAAATGACTTGTTGCCTTTCAGTCTGTCACATTTGATCAAGGAGTAGTTAAATGCTTGAGATTTTTGTAGGAGATTCGATTAACTTGAGAGTTGAGTCCTAAGCTGAGCTGTCCAAAAGCAGGTGGTTTGTTCATTTGCATTTCTGCTTTCAGAAAGGAAATCAGTGCAATGCGTTGTCTGAAGTTGGGGGCCTACCTCACGGATTTTGCCTTTTTGAGTCATTTTCTTTTACTTGGTGTTAACTCTTCTGTTTTAAAAATTAAAATTACTTTCACCCTTTCTTTTATTAAAGCTGTTATAAATTTTTTCTTGTTTTTGTTAGTTGACAGTGGAAAAATGGGTTAAATCTGTTGTGTAATATTTCAAGATAAGAACTAAATGCAGAAGTTACAGATAATTTTGTGTATCTAATGACATTTCATTAGAATGCTTTCAAAATAACCAGTAACTTCTAGATATCAAAGAAACATGGAATTAGTGGCCTGCCATCTGAGAAGATTTTTTCAATGTAAAACAATTAGTTTCTCACAGAGTCAGTGTATTAATAACATACATGTGTGGAAGAGCTGATGCATGAGAGGACTAAAGTATTGGACTAAAGTATTCTAGCATAAGGTCCTGCTATTAAACCATTGAGACATTAAGAGCATTTTGAAACATTGAGGTGCGTAAACATTGAACACCTGACTGCCATTCAAATAATACGTAAGTCTCCAAACCTGTTTCACTGGGAAATAGGTTTGTAATGTTGCCGTAGCATTTTCATTTAAGTGTACTTTTAAAAAAATCATCCGATTTGGTTAAAATTAATAAAGGATTTGGCTAAAAAAAAACCCGGAAGTTTAACCTTGAAGGACTAACACAGTTGGTGGGAAGGGGTTCTTAATGTTAGGCTACCATACTAAATATTTTTGTAATTTGTTACATTATTTGATTGGCTTTCTAGAAGAACATTGATCCTCTTCTAAATTTGATTTGACTTTCAGTTCAGTGTTTAATGCTAGAGGGAACTTGTCCTAGTAGTGCCTCCCCCCCCCCCCAGTTTCCCTTTTTCTTTTTGGGGGGAGCTTAGTTATTCCTGTGAAATGCTTTGACCTCACATCCATGAACTAATTAGGGTTCCAGTCATAAAAACCAGCACTGTCTTCCGGTGAAGTTGATCTAGATCGATTGTATGTTCATGTTCTGCAGTGTTTTAAAAGTTTAAAATTTGATTACAGTGCTAATCAAAGCTATACATAGAAATTCTACTTAGGATTCAATTTGAATATACTAAAAAAGCAGCTTAGACTTAGTATAGACCCTTTATGAACAGATTTAACTTGTCTAATAGAAATCTTTAATGGAAAAGTAAAAGTAATGTTTCTCAGTGACTCGATTATTTTTAACCCATTTAGGGTTACTTCAGACCATCGATATTAAAAAGTGATACCTTTCATTTTTGTTAAGGTACCCTTGTACTAGATGTGTTCTTTCAACTGAATTGATTTAATCTAATTTTATGATTTGTGCAGCAGTCCTGCAAAGATCAATTTTTTAGAAAGGTTTAGAATAGCACAGTCGTTTTATGAAACCTAAGTGTTCAAGAGAACAGTCCCCACCTGTTCCTATGATTTTTTAGAGATAAGATGACAGCTCTTATTTCTCTAAAGTTGTAAGAATCTTAAGTCACAACTGAATACAGGAAGGGGAAGGTACCTTGGCAAAGTGACAGTGATTCTGGGGAGAGAGGGACTGAACTTTTTTGGTAAACTTTTAAATTGAAGATTACATACGGAAAGTACACACATCTTAGGTATGCCATTCAATGAAGTTTTTATAAGTGAACACACCTGTGTAACCATTATCCAGCTCAGGATATGGACCATCATCAGCACCCCATAAGCCTCCCTTGTGCCCTCTTCCCAGTCATTACTCCCTAACCCCCAAGGTGATCCGTTTCATTATAGATTAGTTTTGCCTGTTTTAAACTTTATGGTTTTTTTTTTTTTTTTTTGTATCTGGCTTTTCTTTAACATTGTGAGATTCAACCATGTTGTTACTTGTAACAGTATTCTTTCTTTTTAAATTGTGTGTAGTACTCCTTTACATAAATATAACCACAAGGAATGTATTCATTTTATTTTTATTTGGGTTGTTTCCAGTTTTGGAAACAACTGCTCTGAACATTCTTGCACATGCATGTATGTTTCTGTTGGATATATACGTAGGAGTGAAATTTCTAGGTGATTGGGTGGACAGCTATCAGTTTTCCACAGTGGTTGTACCAATTCATACTCCCGATTATAAATTGTATGATTTATACTCTACAGTTGACAAATGTTTATATAAAATTTAGGTCTTGAACTCTGAGAGTTATCCTGTTTAGATTACTGTGTATTAGAAGAAATAAATCACTAATGTCTCAACCTTTGTTTTTAGATATGGCTCGTGGGCAGCAGAAGATTCAGTCTCAGCAGAAAAATGCCAAAAAGCAAGCTGGACAAAAGAAGAAACAAGGACATGACCAAAAGGCTGCTGCCAAAGCTGCTTTAATATATACCTGCACTGTCTGTAGGGTAAGGGGAATTGAAAGACAGCTTTCCCATGGGCAGTTCTTTCATTACAGATTGGTTTGTATAGGTTTAAACTTCGCAGTCATGGCAAATTGAATGCTTTGTTTTGAAATAGTAGGTTTGAGATCTGGTTATCTCTTTGTTCTTCCACTCAACAAATATTTTCTGAATGGTTTCTATGGACTGGCACAGTTTTCTAGGTACTGGGGGGAAGGGAGTGAACAAAGTCCCTTTCCTCATGGAGAATAAAGATGCTTCTTAAGGGCATATCTAAACTTTGAATTTTGTGTAGGAGTTAGATCTACATTCTTAGTTTAGTGAATATTGAAGCTGTATAAGCCACTAGTGAATATACCCGTTATAGAGTTGACGTCTTCGTTTTACTTCACTAAACCCCTATTTAAGACCTCTGCAAGACTAGAGTATACTCACATTGAAGGCTTTTGCTAGAATTAGTGTGTTTATTAGCTTTGAAGAATATTAGTAACGACAGCTACTATTAACTGCTTACCATGTGCCAGGCACTCTTCTGGGTGTTTTACACGTATTAATCCATTTATACAACAGCCTTACGAGATAAAGTAGTTTTTATTATTGTCACTTTACAAATGAGGAAACTGAGCTATGGGGATTAAATCACTTGCACAAAGTTAGACAGCTAGTAAGTAGTGGAGCTAGGGTCTAAATGCAGGCACTACAGCCCCAGAGTCCACTCCCTAGACCACTATACTACACTTCCTCTCAAAGGAGTTTTTCTTAAATTCCAAGCCAGAGTTTTTTTCTCACCTGTTTATTTAAGCTCACTACCCTTGAAGTTAGTGAATGGAAGTGCCAAAGGAAAAATACATAGTGGATTCAGTCCAACTATTCATATTCCTTTTATTTTCCAGGTCTCATACCTGGGTAGGATTGGTGGTGTGGATGGGAAAAGGATCTTGATAAGACATAATTTCTGCAACGAAGTAGTTTATCATCCATTGAAGTCAAAATTAAAAAATAACCAGACTTATTAACCATTCTCCAAAATACCAGCAACTCGGAAAATTGTTAGTAGTCAGAAGTTCCTAATTACATAAAAGTTCTTAAGCTAAGAGAGAGGGAAACCTTTTACATTAATTATCCCATTCATATTGAGCTTTAATAAACCTAAAATAACGAAATCGAGCAGCCTCTGACACTGTTTAGAAAGAGGCGGGATGAAAATAAATTTCACTGAATGAATGATGAAGAAATAGCTTGACCTGAAAGTACTAGGGTAAGTTCACATATTTAAAAATCAAAACAAAACGACAAAAAAATTCATGTTCTGTCTAATTGGATTTTGAAGAATAGATAAGGTCCTTGCCTAGAGAAGTCAGTATAGTGTAGTATATGAGAGCTGAAGTACCTAGTCTTTGGTTAAAATATGGGTCTTAGGAAAATTAAACTCTGGGTCTTAGTTTCCTTATCATGTAAAATGAGGACGATTGTAGGAACTAACTCAAGATTACTGTGAATATTACATGAGTAGTCAAGTACCATGCTCAACGTAGTAAGGGCTTGGTAAATGTTACCTGTCGTTTGCTGTTAATGAGATAGGCAGAAGAATTCGTTCTATGTGAGCTACCCCTTCATATGTGTAATGTGCAAATATGTTAGGAATTTCTTTGCAAAAAGTTCCTCTTAGTATGCCAGCTGCTAAATTGTAGAAATTTAAGAGTATTTTATGATAGTTATCTGTCATGAGCAGGTTCAGTGTTAACCAGATTTGAAAAGTTAACACATTTCGTTTTCTTTCATGAATAAGGTTTAACTTTTTTTTTTAACAAAATTTTTTTATTAGACACAAATGCCAGACCCTAAGACCTTCAAGCAGCACTTTGAGAGCAAACATCCTAAGACCCCACTTCCTCCAGAATTGGCTGATGTTCAAGCATAAAGTTGTTTACAGGTAATTGACTTTTTTTTTTGTTTCTTTTGGTTTGTTAATGTCAGGGTTATAAGAGAGCATAACTGTCTTCTATAATTGTAAAATTAATTTCTGCCTTCTAGCTGAAACTTTACATTGCTTCCCCTTTTAAAGTTAATGTTTAACTTTACAATTATTGAAAGTCTGTTTTCCTGTACCATTTGCTTTCAGTGGCTTTGAAACACCAAGTGTTTACTACTGTAGCCAGAAATGGGGAGGGGGGCACGGGGATGGGAGATGCTGGCCAACTCTGGTCCCAGAATGGAAGAGATTTATCAGCTTAAAGAAAACAGATGATACAAAGGCATCTGAGGGACTTGCTTCCAGAAATGATGTAGGTTCGTGTCCCTGAGCACCTTGTTTCAGGTGTTTTACTTATAGTGCTTAGTAAAGCTTCTAAGTACATTAAAATGCAGGGCAAAATATAGGCATATAGTATATAAACTTGGCAGTTGCTTGAGAATTACCAGTTCACACTTTTCTGCATGGTTGAGCTTTTGTTTTTTTTCTAAATGGTGGCGTGTGTATTTGATAATTGCTTCTTTTTAAAGGAAATTCATGAACGATCTGTCATTAGTTTATAAAATCCAGTTGGCTGTAGTGACAAATCTGTCAGAGACTAACTATAACATAGACATGTTGTGCTTTTTTCTTGGACATTTTGAACTGTATGTAAGTAGCATTGTGCAATGCTTATTGAAAGTTTTTCTAATGTTTTTCAGGTGAATTCATGATACCGTTGACTCTTCTACTGTCTCAGACCTTAGGTAACAAACCTGCAGCTGCTTTTCTAACAAACTGTTGATCAGCAAAAATAAAGGGGCTACAGAAACACTCATTTTTATGGTGTTCCCTTTTGGGCTTCATGCAAAGACAATTCTGTGTAAATGTACAGTTGACTCTGATTTGGAAATCTGAAAATCAGTCCGTCCTTGTTATAAAAATTTTTTTACAATTGTAATTATATTGATGTTCATATTGTGTAAAATAACTCATTTAATAAAGTAGTACTTTGATTTTACAACATCGCAGGATAAATGGTTCTAGAAACTCTGTTCTAAGTTTCCACATTATTTGCCTTATAAAGTCTAATGAATTCATCAGCTAGAATTGCAAGCGCAGTTCTTATCCCCCTTTCCCAGCTCAATGGCAGGTTCATTAGTTAAACTAGAGCAGACTCATTCATTAAATTTGTGTACAGGATTTTATTGGCAGCTGATAATCTAGGTGAAGAATGTCTTGCCTGCTGCCTTAGTATATTGCATTTATGTGTCATTTCCAAACACTTTGATCATTTCATGTGTTTTGAGGTTGGATCTTTCCACTTGCTGTGTGGCCTGGCTGTAGTTGCCAGCCAGGTGTATCCTGCAGATAACTGATAATTTCCTAAAGTATTGGATTGTCAGTGAGCCCTTCGGAAAGATTAGGTTCTGAAGTACATACCATAATGAAAATAATCAGTAAGCTTATCGTTTAATACAAAATATGGACGGAACAAACAGTGTGAACTGGTAAGGAGCTAGCTTTTTATAAACTATCCTAGGTTCTTTGAAAATTATTCAAGTTCTTTAATTTGAAATTACAGTTTGTAATTTGGAAGTTATTCGTGATGTGGCCAATTTTATGAATGGATTTTGCACTGACAGGAAGATTAGAATGATTTGTGGCTGGGTTAATTCCCAGAACCGTCTTCCTCTCTTTTTTAAGTGAGTTGTTGATTTTAGGAGTTTACTTTGTGTTGATTCCTAAAATCAAAGACTGTGTCTACAGTGTGACTTCAGTATGAACTAGAAAAGTATTAAAATAGGCCAATATTCTCATTCTTTTAGATAGAAGTATGGGGAAGTAGATTGGTTCAGATGGATGAGGTAAACTCTGCCAAGTTAAAGAAGACTAAGTTTAGGGTTCTTCTAATTTACTTTTGTCATATATTAAGCTGTGTGAGTAGAACTGCTGTAACAGGTTTTTTTCCTAACTCAATTTAAATTTTAAAGTGAACATAATAGGAAGAACACTCAAATATTTACTGGTGATTACTTAGAGCCGAAAACCTAATCCTGTGGATTAGAAAATGCATTCCCTCTTTCTGCTGTAACTCATTGCTGCATTCGTTTTATAGCTATGCATATCTTCTGCCCACCTTGTTTGTCTTCAGTGCAAGTTGAAAATGAGATAGTTCCAAGGAAAAGTTCCAGGAGTAATAGTTTCTTAGCATTAGCAACCTGTATTCTTATACTCGTACTTTAAAATACAGTCCTTTTGTTTTGTGTATTTAATTTTCTGAGTTTCAGATTTAATATTAGTTGTTTCCTAATATGTTGGTTACCAGAACATTAGAATTTTGCCTAATTTCGTATGATGGGTATTACAGAAGTTCTGGTTTAATTACAATTTAAAAGTTTTTTAAAGTGCTTTGAGCATATGTAATGTTTATGTTTAGTAACAAATCATTTAAAAACCATTCACAAATTTTTGTTTAGCTTTTTTTTTCATTTGTTTTACTGACTGTAAATGAGAATAAAAGTTTTTTGTTGTATTTAACCATTTTTTATAAGCAGCTGAAGACACCATATTTAAGTATGTATCTCAGTGATAGGGAAATAGCTGCATTTGTCTTGCATAAAACATTAATTCTCATACTTCATATGGGGATTATTAGTATAATCCCCTTTTATTGCGGTTGAGTTAAATCTGCTATAAAGGGAAAAATAATTATTAAATGTCCTCGTTATTTAGTTTGAAGATTCTTTAACAGATCACAACAAAGTTCATTATAAAACTGTTATGGTGTCTTCAAAGACTTGATAAAATACACTGAGAGAGAATTGGTCCATTTGTATTCTGTATTTCCATTAGCTGCCAGAAGGAGTGGGACTAAGATTAAACTTGTTTCCATTCTCTTCATACGGATCTACATCCCCATGTTTAACTGACACACTGAGGGCTCAGTTGTGTGCTGTAATGTCTTATTAAAGAAGGTAATAAAGAAAACTAAACTAGTCCAATTTCTTCTACATTTTAAGAGGTTTATTATATTGCCTCTTCCCTTTTTTTTTAATTTTTCTTCTGAATTTAAAATTGTCTCTTGAGCATAGCTCAGTTCAAAGTGTGGCAAGAGATTTCTTTCATTTCTCATTGTTTCGCTACAGAGTCTTTGTCTATTTTGGATCTATAGACTACTTCTTAATTCTGAAATATTGCTATATAGAATAAGTTCAAGAAGTTAGAATGGGGAAGTAATCAGCTATTAACATGAAAATAATACTAAAACTAAAAATACTTGGGTCAGTTGAATTGGATGGATAAATCCATGATGACGTTGACTAAGATTTGAGAAAACATTTTTGGTTTAATATTAAGGATACTGGATAGCTAATGAATCGCATCATGGTTCAAATCTGAGATGCAGCATAAATAAGGTAGATTTTACCACCTTACTCCTTTGCCGAAAAAAGATACTTTTTTTTTTTTCATTTTTATTAATATAAGGAATATACTGTATCTCTTAAATGTAATGAATGTAGGGGGTAATTTTCTATAATGATCAACCACAGTCCAGATCATAACTGAAATACCACATTTAAACTACCTAGTCTGCATAAATTTATTTGTACTGGATGTTTAGTTTTGTTTTTCTTTTCGTTGGTCAGAGATGTGTACCTTTCAGATTGTTTAGCAGTGAAGATCAGCACTAGGGAGTTGTGTTTAACGTGACTTTCATTCTGAAATATTTTTCAGGCCAGCTTAATTTTATTTATTCTAAAAATTACAGAAAAATCTTAAGAGCTTCCACTGTGTATATTGACTAAAGCATCTATGTACTTGACTGAGAAGATAGATGTTTTATTAATAAAAGTTAAACCTGTCATTATTAATTATAGACTACCATATTAGACTGAAAATTGAGTATCTTCTATTTTAAATGTGCTTTAGATAAGCTGTTTAGTGAGTGACCTTTTTTGGGGGAGGGGTACAGCTATTCTTTAGCTTCAATTTGAGGTGATGACAGTCTTTGTACATAGTATGGCTCCAAATTTAAAATCTGCACATGCAGAGACAGACGTGAGTAGATGTATCTATAGTGTAAAGTAACTATGCTAAAAATCATACCACTTTATAATCATATTTATATATGAACCATTGTTGTGTCTATACAATTAATAATGGCTTAGGTTTTTATAGACCAGATAACCACCTTGTTACCACTACTTTCTGTATTACAAAATTCAGAATAGGACTTAACATTTTGGATCTTATTTTATTAAAACTTTAATTACCAAGAACTGTGCCATCATAGTATTTCTTCTATAACAATGTAATAGTGTTTCTCAAAATGAGCATTATAGCTAAGGTGAACAGATACCCCGGTTTGCCAAAGGCAGTCTCGGTTTAACTATTAATTTAGTATTAAATATAAAATTAATATTGAAATTATTAAATGTTACATTGTCTCAGTATAAATCTTTCTTTTTTTTTTTGGTAATGTCCCCCATGTCATTTCTTACTTGGGTTATTTGCATCCTCTCCTGTTTTTCTTTGTCAGTTTGGCCCGTGGTTTGTCAGTTTTGTTAATCCTTTCAAAGAACTAACTTGGGTTTGATGCTTTCTATTGTTTTTCTATTCTCAATTTCATTTATTTCTGCTCTGATCTTTATTATTTCCTTTCTTCTGGTGGTTGTGGGCTTTTTTTGCTGTTCTCTTTCCATTTGTTTGAGTTGTGTAGGTAATGTTTTGATTTTGTCCCTTTTTTGATGCATCTGTTGCTATAAATTGTTCTCTGAGGACTGCCTTTGCTGTGTCCCAAAGGTTTTGGTATGATGTGTTTTCATTCTCATTTGATTCTAGGAATTTTGGATTCCATCTCTGATTTCTTCCATTACCCAGTGGTTTATAAGCAGAGCATTATTCAGTTTCCGTGTAATTGATTTGTTTTCTTTGCTCTTCCTGTTGTTAATTTCTACCTTGATGGTATTGTGGTCAGAGAAGATACTTTGTATTATCTCAATATTTTCGATTTTGTTGAGGGTTTCTCTGTGGCCTAAGATGTGGTCTATTCTGGAGAACATTCCATGTGCACTGGAAAAGAATGTGTACTTCGCATCTGTTGGGTAGAGTGTTCTATGTGTGTCTGTGAGGTCAAGTTGGCTGATTGTGGCCTTTAGGTCTTCTGTATCTTTGTTGAGTTTCTGTCTGGATGTTCTGTCCTTTACCAATAGTGGTGTGTTGAAGTTTCCTACTATTATTATGGAACTGTCAATTTCTCTTTTCATTGCTGTTAGAGTTTGTTTTATGTATTTTGGAGCCTTGTCATTGGGTGCGTAGATGTTTATTATGGTTATGATGTCTTTACTATACATTTAATCACTGTAGAGTGTCCTTCGTCTTTTAAGGTGGATTTTGTTCTAAAGTCTATTTACCTGAGATTAGTATTGCCGCTCCTGCTCTTTTTTGGTAGCTGTTTACTTGTTATATTTTTTTACATCCTTTGATTTTTAATAAATTTACATATTTGTTTCTGAGGTGTGTCTCTTGTAGACAGCATATTGATGGATCCTGTTTTTTATCCCTTCTGTCACTCTCTGTCTCTATGGGTGCATTTAGGCCATTTACATTCAGTGTAATAATTGATAGGTGTGAGTTTATTGTTGTCATTTTGTAGTGCCTTTTTTTTTTTTTTCTGCAGTGCTGATGTTTTCTTTGTTCCTCTTACTGTCCTGTGCTGAATTCCTTTTGTTTGTGAATTTTTTTTTTCATTTGTTTTGTAGATTTTGTTTTTACTGAGACTTTATGTTTTTCTTCTTTATTTTGATGAGTATGTTTGTTAACTTTCTTTGTGGTTACGTTGAAATTTACCCTTATCTTCCTAGGTTTGAAGCGGTCTGTTATTACTTGGTATCGCCATGCCTCCCTCTCCATTAGAAGGTTCTATACCTACACCGTTTATTCCCTCTTTTATTGTTCTGATGTTGTTGTCATTTACAGATTAACCTCTCTGGTTCCCTGTTGCTATTCTTTTGGTTTTGGATAGTCTTTGAGAGTTCATTTCCTTGGTTGGTGTCTGGCTGGTACAATCCTGTGTCCTGGGTTCAGCGTGTGGTCTGATCTTGTTTGTTCTCAGATAGAAGGAGCCCCTTTAATAATTCTTGTAAATTTGGTTTGGTTTTTACATGGTCCCTTAATTTCTGTTTATCTGGAAATGTCCTAATTTCACCATCATATTTGAATGAGAGTTTTGCAGGATACATTATTCTTGGTTGGCAATTTTTTTCCTTCAAGGTTTTATATATGTCATCGCATCGCCTTCTTGCCTGCGTGGTTTCTGCTGAATAATCTGAGCTTAGTCTTATTGTTTCTCCTCTGTATGTAACTTTTTGTTTTTCTTGAGCTGCTCTCAGGAGTCTTTGTCTTTGGTTTTAGCGAGTGTGATTATGATATGTGTTGGTGATTTTTTTGGGGGGCGGGGGTCTATCCTATATGGGGTTCGTTGAGCTTGGATGGTCAGCTTTTCATCTTTCATGATGTTGGGTAAGTTTTTTGTCAGCAGTTCTTCAATGATCCTCTCTGTGTTTTCCGTTTTCTCCCCATTCTGGAACTCCAGTCACTTGCACATTTTTGCTTTTGATTGTATCCCACATAATTCTCAGGGTTTCTTCATTTTTCTTCGTTCTTTTTTCTGATTTTGCCTCTGAGTTGTATCCAAGTGTTTTGTCTTCAATTTTGCTGATACTGTCTTCCATCATTTCAAACCTGCTCCTCAGCCCTTCTATGACACTGTCCATTTCTGAAATCTTGTTTATCTTTTGGATTTCTAATTGTTCTTTTTGTATGATTTCTAGTTGTGAATTTATTTTGGTATTTTGTTCTTGTATTATTTTCCTGAATTCTTCCATTTTTTTATCTGTATTTCCCATGCATTTGTCTGCATTTTCCATGAATTTGTTTATTTTTTCCTCATTTTTGTCTGCTTTTTGCTTCAACTCTTGAATAACTCTGAA